TCTCCAGCCTGACACTGGCTCATTCCTTAACTACGTTGCTATAACCATTGCCTCAAATCATATATATATATATATATATATATATATATATAACTTCAGCTCTCATACAACCGGACTGTCTTTTAGATTAGCATTAGTCAGCAGAATTATTTCAATGAGCTCCGCCATTTTAACAATAGAAGCGCGAAAAAAACTCATTACCGCCTACAATCAAATGTCTGCATTTTACATTTACTAAGGCCTCTCAAGTGAATACAGATGTTATATCTAACATGTTTCTGTTTAAAGTCAGTTTACCTGTAAATATAGGACATTTATCAGGTCAGTTGAGAAGCCGCTTTCTCTTTGGATGACACTTGACTCATTAGTACTGACGGCTTTCTTCTGCTCTACTTACGTTAGCTACTGATGCTCAGTATACTGCATAGAGCGCCCTCTGCTGGCGATGCTGGGCATAGCAGAAATAAAATAACCACACATCCCGGTAAGAGACCTAATGACAGCATGATACAGATACTTTCCGTGATATGTGAGTTTCCCTGTTTGTTTAACTTTATTGAACATTTTTATTATGTTGCTTGCAGTTTGAAGAAAGCGTAAGTAGATGAAAGAAGATATGAGAGTGGATGATAAGGTATGAAATAAGTGTTTGTTGTGCTCAGGAAGCCTACTGGACACTAACATCTGGCTTGTGTCTTTAGTGGGAAAGGTTACGATCAGCACTCATCAGACAAATGACTGCAGTAGTCTCGGGTATTTATCGGATCCAGCTCCGATCGGCAGTGATGGAAACACCCCACCACGGCACGTTGCAATGACTATTATGACCGATTCTTTGTCATCGCAGCCATAAAATGCGTCCGTCGTCGTCCAAGCTGCACTCAAACATCGTTCCAAATCAGTCGGCACCGAGTTTGAAGAAAGGCTGAATACGTAACAGATGTGAAAAACAAGTAAAAACTAACATTTTCTACCGTTTACTGTTTGTGAAGTCGAAGATAACACAACAGAAAAAAAACACACAGAGACATACTCGTCTCCTGGCAGTCGGAAAGGAGACTATCACCTATTTTTAACGTGTTCAACCTGCACATTTTGGTGGAATAATTTTATGAGATGCAAATGCTTGAAGTGAAGGGGGGGGGCTTTATGTTTTGTAAATGTACAAGAGGGATTAAATGGCCCCTAATCCATGTGTTGATGAGCACTGTACCCTATTTATCATCAGTCTGGACGGTCACAACAACAGCACGTGACCCTCAATCGGACATGATAGCTGTGCAAGAATTAACCCCAAAACACTGGGACAAACGCTGCACTGCCATGTAGAATTAGGATGAGGTGTGTGTGTGTGTGTGTGTACAGGGAACACCATGGTTGTCTTCTAATAGAGGACCAATTCACATCCTGTTCAGCCCAGTGTCACATGTTGAAATCTATTAGTTTGGTTTACAGGGACACGACTTGTTTGTTTTTTTAATGCCAATGGAAAATCAATTAGGAGACAAATTCGTTGTGGAGACACAAATGAAATGCATCCATGTGACTATGTATATCTCAGCAACCACCGGATGGATTGCCATGACATTTGGTACAGATGTTCATATTCCACAGAGGATGAATCCGACTCATTTTGTCAGTCCTCCGACTTTTCCTTTAAGCACCACCATGAGGTTGACGTATGCGATTTAAAATGAAATATCTTCACAATTTTTGAATGGATTGTCATGAAATTTAATACAGATGTTCATATTCCCCGAAGGATGAATCATAATTAATTTGGCAATCTCTTGACTTTTCCTTGAGCACCATCTTCAGGTCAAATTTTCACTTTGTCTAAATTTTTGGTTTACAAGCAAACATCTGCAAAACAAATGTCATTAAAAACAGACATTGTACCTGCTAAAGTTCAGCATCTTAGCATTGTTATTGTGAGCATGTAATCATGCTAATGTTAGCGTTTAGCTCAAAGCTCTGCTGTGTTTAAATACCTAACAGGCTGTACACTATTATGGACTTTACGTAACAGGAGCCTGCAAATATTTTGGAACGAAACTATTAACACCGGCAGAGATGCGAGTTTGCGACTGTTGCAGCACTTTTTCATTGAAAGGTTTGAACAGATTCACGCAGGCAGAGGACCAACTACCAGCATCCTATTGAGCCAGAGCAGCGACTGGCAGTCTGTCTGAGGTAAAACATGTTATAGCCTTTAAGCTACTGTAAGATACTTTATTGAGTTTCCTTTTAGCGAAATGCTCTGAGTGAATTTAAATTCCCTCTGGTAAACAGTAACCATAGACTGTGTATAAGAAGTGAAGATAATCGTCGTGAGGTCACCCGTTGGTTTGTAGATGAGTTTGTCATTTTGGTTGTCGCCATCTTGGATTTTGGCTGTCGTAATTATTTGTTTTGCAACCAGTGAGCGGAAGTGACCATATTTGGACTGTGGAGGAGTGACGTAGAGGCGCCGTATATGGCTCTGGTAGTGGTAGAGACCTGTCAATCATACTCCTCTTTATAGTCTGTTTGACTCTAAATGGACCATAATGTACTAAATGAACATCATGCTGCATTGAAGAAGACTTGAAACTAGAGATTGAGACCATAAACTCATGTTTACAATGTTTACTGAGGTAATAAATCAAGTGAGAAGTAGAGCCTTTGATAAAGTTGAAAGGAGTGATAACGTTTGCCATCTTGTTTCAGCCTATATATCCTTTGTGTTGTTGTACACTATTGTGTATGTTTTGTACACGTCCATTCCTCACAATGTGATTAATTGATGCCTTTAATCGCAGTGCAAAAGCTCAGGAAATCAACCTTGTTCTGAAAAATGAAGTGCATTTTTTTAAACTCATGACAGTTCGAAAAAGTATATTGACGTACGAATAAATCACACAAAAAATCCCCCCTGATGTGAAAAAGCCTTTAGTGTTGTTGAGTTTTAATAAGCAGTGATTTTGAGATTTTATTTAGCACGGATGACTCACCTGAGAGAAGATGGCAGCTCAGATGAGTCGGAATAAGCAAGGACAACAGTGAGACAAAAGGAGGGAAAGACGGATGAAAAGAAAATTATTCTACTTTATTACATTTGGGGGATTGGACGACACAACCGAAAGAAAATGTGCCCGAAAGTTCATAACAGATTGGATGCCTTTTGTTATTGTTCCCCTGTCCAACACTGCTGTCAGCTCATATTGGCATCACACAGTGGAATAGATTAAAAAAAACAGTTGTCCAGTGAAACCAGATAAAAGCAGCAATGAGCAGGAAGGTCGTCAGTGTGAATGTAATCTTATTGTGCTCATAATGAATACACTGATGGTTGTGCGGATCTGAGGCAGAAAGAGACGTATTAACCGAGAGAGACGTAGAGAAATAACAGGTGCTTCGTACTTATTCAAGATTTTTGGGAGGATACACGTCGTTCATATTCTCCAAACATGTCTCTGCCAGAAAAGGGACCACATTTTATATGATTTTAAATGGAAGCCACCAAAATGTCCACTTGACCTACTTTTCACAATTCACCAAACACATTATTTCTATTCCACTAAACATTTTGGATTTAATTTTGTTGACATTGCTGTTGCTTTCACATGCACACGTACACATCAACAACCAAGTAAACACACAGAGACACACACACACACACACACACACACACACACGCACACACACACACACACACACACACACAGACACAAAACATCTCCTGTTGCCCAGCCCCTCTCTCTTTATGCTTTTTTTGTGTGTGGAAGAATGCCCACGACCCCCACCACCACCACCACCACCATTACCCCCGGGGCCCTTGGGCATTCATCACCCTGTGCATCCCCCCATTTACCCCTCCCCCCCCCCCCCCCCTTTCACCAAGACACCCCCACATCTCCCCTCCTCCTCCCCCCTTTTGTTTGCTTCTGTGTCACACCATTAAACAAAGCAGGTTGTTTTGACGGCATCGAACAACACTTTTTTTCCCACATAATCTAAAACTGCTTCATCCTATCTGACACACACACACACACACACACACACACACATAGGACGATGACGGGAGGTTAATCTCCTTCGAAATATACTGATTTCCCTTGAGGAGAAAAAAAAGTGTCCAGAGCAGAGTGTGCACCCCTATTGAGATCCAACACTCAGATGAATAGCAAATAACTGGAAGCTTTGGTAAAGAGATGAGGAGTAGAAGGAGGTGGAAACGTTATGGGAAAGGAAAAGAGGAAGATAGGGAAAATGTCTCAAACAAAAAACAAAGGAAAAGTAGGATGCTTAGAGAAGGTGGAGAAACATCGTGGAAATGTGCAGCAGGATGAAACATGGGAGAGGCTTAAAAAGTATTGGATGATGAAGAAAAAGAAAGCCGAAAAAAAACTCTGGAAAAGAGGGAGGAGGTGGAAAATTAAAACAGATTTAGGAAAAAGGAAGTTAAGAGGAGGGGGAGGTAAGGGTCTTGGGAAGGGGAGGACTAGTTTGAGGAGGAGTCGTTTTGGGGAAAGGAAGGAAAATGAATGGTAACATCTCGGTGCAGGAGAAAAGATAACACATTTTGTGGAAGAAAAAAAGACAAATGAAAGTTAGGAGGAAGAAGATACATGCCTCTTGAAAAGAGGGGGGCAACAATAGGAAAAGGTAAATAAAATGGTGGAAAAGGATGGATCAATATGGTATTTTGAGTGGAGGAGAGGACGGGAAACATATTTTGGAAAAAAAAACAAGGAAGTTAAAAATGCAAAAAGTCATGGAAGTTGAAGAAAGTGAGGAGGGAGATGAGAAGAACATGTCTGCCAAAGGAGAGAAGGACCACAAGTTTGAGGAGGACCTATATGAACGCTTTGAAGGACTAAAACAGTAAAAAGTTTTAAGGGAAGGATGGAGAGAGGAGGAGGCAAGCGTTTTAGGAAAAGGGGGGAGGAGAGATGAAGAGGGGGGATGGGGGGGGGCATCAACAATCCTCTCTTCCCCTCCCCAGATGATGAGAAGGCTGCCGAGCGCGCTGCACTCCGCCGTGCGTTTGTTTCCCTTTTAAAAGTGCCCAAAGCACCGAACCCTTCCGAGCCCAACCAAGCCAAGCCGAGCCACGGCGTGCGTCTGCGCCCCCCTCCCCAAACGCACCACCCCGCCTCCACCACCACCACCACCCCACCCTCGCCTCGCCGTCTCCGACCGCCGTTCTGTGGCAATGGAGCCGTAACCAACCTCAGTGTGCTTAACTGAGCCGAGCGCGTGAAATAGCAACGGATACGAGGAGACAGCTGAGACCAAGTGGCTATGGAGGAGCAGCGCAGCGAGGCTGGAGTCTAGACTGCACGCAAATTTAACAGACCCGGATTACTTTTTGCCACCATTTTTTTGAACTCTTATTATCACTATTAGAACAGGAATTTCCCCCCCCCCCCCCCTTTTTTTCCAGCCGTCTGATCATCATATTATTCTATCGTTACACGACGAGGATGCAGGCGAAGGAGGCGAGCTTTTGCACGGGAAGCTGGAGACTAACGCTGCTGTCATGCGTCCTGGCTCTGCACTTGATCCCGCTGTCGGTCCACGGTAAGAAACAGCCTTTAACGGTGCACTTTAATCATGCAAACAAACAAAAAACCTCCACTTTTAGTTGCTTGGTCTCTTTACATTTATTTTGCTGCAGCAGCATGTCCTCTCTGTGGATTCAGCGTACCTAAACACACTCCCACAGGGCAGCCAGAAAGGAGGTCAGTGAGGCTCGGATTGTAGGTTAGGAGGCACTGCATACTCAACTGGTTTTGATTGAGTATCGGTTAGTTATTTTTTGTGACATTATTCTACACATTATATTGATCTAGACATTTCCCAGTCAATGCACACTGAACAAAAAAAATGGATTTTTGGAGAATCTGCCCTCAAAAAATGTGAATAATGCAATTTCTTTTATGGATAGTAAAGCAAATATTGGCTAAATATCATAATCTAGATTGTTGAAATCTACCCTTTTATCAATGCAGGGGACACACATGTCATGATTAACCCATTATTGAACGCTATGTCCCTGCAGGAATATTTTAGAGATGTCACAGGAGGCAAAAAACGAAATTAGGTCACAATAAAGACACAAGTAGACAATCTAAGCCCTCATGAATATTATAGAGACACCAGAGGAGGTAACAATGAGGTCAATATAAACCCTCTGGACACCATAGACTAAATATCAGGACATCAGATGAAATATTATAAGATTCCACATTGAAATGAGGACTAATATTATAAAGATATCTTAAGATATGAACATACAATAAGCTCAATGCTGAGTGATGCAGACATTGTAAGTAATTGTACAGCATTGGGGGGGTTGAATAAACTCATTTAACTCACTGCACTCGCTAAAGGAACAAGAGATTACGATGACATTTTGGAAGAAATCAGATCACTAAATCCACACAATGTATTGTAGGCGCATTTAAAGCCACTGTAGGAGAAATCACAGAGATGTGTGACAGTGACAGCGTCCAGCCCGATGCAGTAAACCGGGTCCCTGGAGGCGCACTGGCACTACAGCGACACAAAGGCGAGGATTAGGGCCGGGGGAGTTTATGAATAATTCATGAAGGGATCTGGACGGACATTCTGATACACAGAGGGGAGGAGAGAGAAGGAAAAAAAAACCCACCAGAGTAAACATAAAAAAGACACGAAGGCTCTCTTCCTCTCTCTCCGTCTCTTTGTCTAAGATTCATTGCGCACGGCCACATTACTGTCAGATTAATAATGCAGGAGCGTGCACGAGATGAAATCAGTCTGGCGTTATAATCCAATATAATCTGACTGATTATTTTCATCGCACTGGCTGCAATTCATGGAGTGTGATTTCAAGGTGCAGTCCCCCTCGAAAAAAATGATGTTTTTATTGTGTGTGTTTTATTTGGAGCGCAAAAATCTGTCGGGAAGCTTTCGAAAAGGGGTAAAAACTCCCATCAGTGGAACATCCAAGAGAGATGTTTCCTGTCAACTGCACATGAGCCAAATAGATAATGATTTAGAACAGTGACCAATTTGTGTCCTTACAGTCTTCAACCTCAGGTTCTGCCAAGTAAAGCCAATGCAGAAGTGTCTTGAAACCTGCATTCTCTCTAGTGTCCACCAGGGGGCGACTCCTCTGGTTGTATAGAAGTCTATGAGAAAATGACTCTACTTCTCTCTTGATTTATTACCTCAGTAAACATTGTGAACATGAGTTTATGGTCTCAATCTCTAGTTTCAAGTCTTCTTCAATACGGCATGATGTTCATTTAGACTTATGTGTCAGCCCCTGTGATTGACTGGCTACCTGTCCACGGTGTCTAAAGGATAAGCGGGTGTAGCTGATGGATTGATGGATGAATCTTGTTAATTTAGTCTGTTCAGAAATTGAAGTTTAAAAGCATCAATTTGCCTTCATTAAGGGATTTATGCACGGGAGTATTTCTTTGCGGAGCACCGTGATGTACTGGATTCTCTGCTGCTGCTCATGTCAACCTCATGGTGGCACGAGAGGAAAAGTCAGAGGATCACCAAAGTCAATGAGATTCATCCTCTGGGGAACACGAACATCTGTACAAACTTCCATATCAATCCGTTTAATAGTTGTTGACATATTTCAGTCTGGAACAAAGTGGTGGACAAACTGACAAGACGTTGTCGTCCATAGATTCATGCAGCTAGTGAGGCTAAACTGTTTGAATAAATATGGCGATTTTTGCAGTATGTGTGAGATCGATACAGGATATTAAAATATTTAAATGTCATATCTTATTATATCTACATATCTGCTCACCTTTGAGCGCTAATAAGCGCTTCATAACTCCTCTCGTTTGTGTCAGCTCCAACTCAGGTGGATATTTAACGAAAAAAGAGGTCGGCAGATCTGGTGCAGACGCCTTAAAACAACCTTGGGCTAATCCTCCGCCTCCACACCCCCCCTCACACACACACACACACACACACACACACACACACACACTACTTCTCGCTTCACCGGTGAAGTGTGGCAGTGGCAGCTTGCCCCACATCTGTGAATGATGCTCAGACGACCGAGGCCAACCGCCCCGAACTGACAAACAGCCGACCGGAATGCCGTCAGTCATTTCCCGTCGACTTCTTCCTCCGGTGGCCATTTGCAATCCTCCTCCGTCTGTGTGGTGGTTAATACGGATGATTATGCCGCCGCCCCTCCCATCCTCCCCCCCTCTCATGTTTAAGCTGGTAGATAGGCTTGATTGACAGACTAATGGTTTCTGCGTGGATGTACAGCCTCTTTCATGCCCTTCTCCTCTCCCTTCATCTTCCTCCTCCTCCTCTGGCCTGCTGACACATATCTGCTTGCTGGCACATTATCTTTGCTGTGCAGTGGGTTAATCTTCAAGCCAAAGTCCCCCCTCCATTACTCCACTAACCCAACCCAGACGTTTTTTTCATATATATATATATATACAGTATATATATATATATAGCAGTGTGCAGAATTTAATAGCAAACCGGCCATGAAGATGAATGACGTCTACAGCTCTGGTTATTGGTGAACAATGGCTTTGCAGTCTCTCCTCTGCATCTTCTCTGTCGCCATGGAAACCGCACACCATCCACTGACACCGGCTCTGCTGGCGGAACAGTGTGTTCACATCGGCGGCATAATGTGTTTCATGCTTTGAATTTCATCGGGGCTGAAAATGTTGGTTGGATTTTTTTTTGGCAAACGCTGAAATGTCTTGCCAGGTCCGGTGGCTCTACGCCTACTGACCATGCGTGTGTGTGTGTGTGTGTGTGTAAGTGTGTGTGTTTGTGTGTCTGTGTGTGTGTCCACACCCACTGGCAATGGGTGTAGTCCATCATTACCAGCTTTACTTTTGTAGATGATATTGTTTGTACTGGTGTATTCATTTTTTCTGCATAATGAATTCATGGTGTTTGATTTTCGGCAGATGAACCCGCTTTACTGTTGGCTGTGCAAACACCAGTGTTTTGACTCTTGATTTACATGCAAGAAGGGAAGGTGGAGCGCGTTGTCGTCGTCGTCGTCGGTATACGCGTGATTTCTAAACAATCATTCTTGTAAAAAAAGAAAGAAAAAAGCGACGTCACTTTAGACGCAGCCTCACAGTTTGTGTGTGTGTGTTGGGTGTTGGATGCTTCCAAGAGACTGAGAGCAGATCATCCAGAGCTGCTGAAGGGACTGATGGCTGACGATTCATCAGGCTGCACGAGTTGAACACATGTCAAACTGCTGAAGCCATAATAGGTCCAGTTGGGAGAGTAATTAGCAGAAACGTTTTTGTTTTGTTTTAATTCATTTTTTTAAACATTCATTCTGCACCTCATAATGCAGGTTCAGTGCCAGGAGGTGGTTGTGTTTCGTAGAACCATCTGAGAAGCCGCCATTAGGAACTGTTTGGAAAAAATGGCAGATGATTGTATGAAGAGCAAAAACATCTTTTCTATTGAGAAAAGCCTTCAGTGTCGTTCTTTGCTCTTCTTTCAATGAAGAAATACTCTCCAGTTTTCTCGAGGCTATTGCAGCATCTAACCTAATCTAATGTTTAGAATGAACAGTCGCCTCTCCACACCTGTAGCTCCTCGCAGGACACCGATTGGTCGGAACTGCTGATTGGTCCGGTTCAGAAACTCATTACTTGAAGCCTGACGAGATGAATTTCGGTCCGGTCGGCGTGGTGGAGTCGTGTGTCGCGCGTCTGTCTTTCATGCAGGATGCCCAAGTTATTATTCTGCCACAGAGCTGCGGTTAATGTTTGCTTTTTTTTATTAACTGTAACCACGATATATAACACAATATTGTCTATTTACTTTATTTTATTTTCACCAGGATAAACCACTCAGCATCAGTCTTGCTTTCCAGGGAGTTCTGGGTATTAAAAACCAACGATAAGACAATTTAACACTGTAATGATAATTATATACAATTTTTATAATCAGTTTATTTAAGTCAATAATCTCATAGATCTTTTTCAACTGTGAGTACTTTCATATTCAAATTGAGGAAAGAAACAACCAATTTGTAATTATTTTTTGCATTTGTTACATTAAAAACTACTATTAAAAAAGTAATCAATAATGAAAATCATCTTTTTCTAGCAGCCTTCATCAATGCAGTAGAAGGTATTTTGAATTAAACCTGCAGAAGAACTTCACTGGTGATAATTCATTAAATACATGTTAACGGAAACATTATCTTGTTTTTTCCCATCTTTTTCTAGCATTTATTGTCTCGATACGTGCTTTTGTAAATATTATTTGGATTAAACCACCGAAGTTGAATTACATGAGGTGGGACAGAAACTCTTCATGCTAAATTGGGACCTGTGGAGGCTATTGGCTCATCCCAGATAAATCTGTTTGTTAGGAAACTACGTGATCCTAATCTCATTTGTGATATCCTCCCACCTGGATCTGTCTGCAGGCCAACATTAGCATACGTATGTGGGCTTGACCCGACCAGCTGCGGGCTTCTACTCTGGGTTACTGTGTGTTCGTGTGTGCTGACACACTGTACACGAAGTTACGACGGGCAGTTTGTTTTTCATAAT